ACAACAAAGAATATGTGACCTAAGGACGATGTTGCCTCTGCTAATTTAATGCATTCCCTGTGATTACTGATAGGCTATTTCAGACAGCTTTAACGACACAATCTATCTTGCCGTTACTTCGCTGACCTTAGTTTGGCTTAGGGACAACATTATTCAAGTTAGAGGTGAAGGAGATGGAGAGAAAGAGATATGAGGCCTATGGGGAAAACGGTGCAAGCAAGAGTGGAAGTAAAAGAAGTCTGCAGAATTCCCATCAATAACCCTCCTCCAGTTCATGTGTATGAAGAAAGGAGAGAAGGCAGGAGGAGAGGAGGAAGGGAGTGCAGGAAGGGGGGACTCAGGGGTTGAGACAGGGTCAGAAAGGAGTAACCATTAGCTTAAAAAAGGACCTGGATCAAATGCTATTTTTAAGTTATTTATTCTACACTCCACAGCTTGGGGTAATTTAAGAGTTGTCTAAAGTCAGACGTTGTGAGAGTAAAGGGGCATCCATCACCTGGAGAAGACACAAGGTGTTCACAAGAAATAAATAAGAAGCAAGAGGGAGGGATAGAGGGAATAAAGATGGCTAAAGACAGAAGGCCCACTGACTCGCATCACTGTCCATTACCTTTTGTGTCTCTGTCTTTGCACGTGCATTGCTCCTTAATTTATCTATTTTTGGTGTTTGCTTTTGGTTGACCAGATTTTTTTTACACTTAATGCAGTCGTTCATTTTTCTTACAAAATGTAGAATATAGACTTCTTGCAGAAGCAAGGTAGCTATGATACGTACTCTCACACAAATGACTCTATTTTATGCAAGTTAAACAGAGAGAAGCTGTCTTTGAAAGATATGCCATTTTAAAATAGAATTTGAGAGGAAATTAATTAACCCCACCTTTACCAGATACCAAACAGCAAGTTTAGTCAATGTCATGAGTACCTATGATTGCCAAGCATTTTATGCATTGATATGGAGAACTAGTGCACTTGGTGTTGTAAATGAAGCAAGTAGCTCATGGCTCTTTGGATAAAAAAAAATCCAGAAACCGATAAACAACTCTGACGTCAGGAAATATGATAGCAGCAGAAACACATTTTAAGCTGGTACTAAATGATATGAGCATACCAGAGAATTGTATCATAAATCCATATTTGTCTTAATGATTTCTTCATTTACTAATTCCAGTTAATAATGGTGATAGTAAATTATAGATTTACTTGTTACCTTTTTTTCCTGTAAGAAAAGTATGTAAGGGAGTGGAAGTCAGGTAAAAAATTACAACAACTGATGTAGCAGTACTTTCAAAACAGAAAAAATTTAACATTTACAGTTGCCTTGTAAAATATAAGCATACAAATATAAATATAAAACACATTTACACACCAAGAAAGTCATACATTTTTCAAGTGCAAATCCAGTTTCAACGCTTATCTATCAGTTTTTTAAAAGGGCTTCAACACTATAAGAGTACCCTTGTTCTGCATATCGTGTGGTTATTGTAGCTGCAAAGTAATTTTGAGTCAATGCAGGCTTTAAAGACATTTTATTTTCTAAATTCAGAGCAGTGCTTTGGATCTCCAAAGCTTGCAACCCCACAAGGCCAACTTTTGAACACAGAGCTCAGGCTGAATTCGGTGCAGCTGAGTAGGCACAGTGAGGACCCTAAACCATTTTAATCAGTGTTTACCCTCAAATTAGCCATGCTGCAATAATGGTGCAGTTACTGGTTCAACGGAATTATTATAAGGACATTTGGCTGGACACTGACTGCAGAGGCCTTGTGATCACAAACCTGAAATTTATAAGTCAAGCAAGGAAAGTCAGGCTCCTGACAGAAAAGGAAAATCTGGTAGTTTTAAAAATAAAATCAAACATCTAACTTATGGTCACTTAACTTATGTAAACGAAACAGGAACACAGGGGTCATTGGAAGAAAAAATGGAAACCAATGCATAGGAATAATAAACATTACTTTAAGACACCCAGAAAGAGTGTCAACCCAAGTGAACTTCTGTTGTTTTAAGCAGAGTTTCCAGCACTGGGCTAGGCTGGTCACACCACCACTGGTTTTTTTGTGGCCAGCACTGGATCAGGGCCATAGCTGCATTATAGTCATTCTACAGACAGGTATGTGTTCTATTGTTGAGTTATAGCAAAGACACTTTATATTAATACAGCAGGTTCTGTCTGATCTGGACCAGGGTTCACTCGAGTTTATGTTTAACTCGAGCTGTTTCAATTACTGTCTGCTGGTTCTTCGTCGTTTCTTTGCCCCTTGTGTGTGTTTTCCCGAATGTCTTTGTTTTTTTTTATTTTGTTAGTTTTGGATGTTTGCTTAACTTTCCACCTTTTGGAAATTAAAACTGCAAAAAAAGCACCTCAGCTTCTGTCTCTGCCTTTGGGTCCTTTAAAAACCTCCACACAGCCTGGCATGATATCTGTAACTTTAGAATGAGTTGGGTTCTTGAGTTCTCAAGGCTGGATTTCATTTTGTGATTTTTGTGCTCATCTTGTGGGGCTGTAAATCATTTTTTTAGCTGAATCAAGGCCCGGAGTGGCTAATGGGGAAGACCTGGAAAATTTCTAGTGGGCCAGTTTTATCATCTTTAGCCGGCAAGGGCCGTTAATGATGATGATGGGATTGCTCCTGTTACTATGGCGCTGTTATACAATGTGTGAACAAAAAAAGCACAAGCACAAATGCTTTCAAGACCCAAGCAATATGAGTGATTTTTTTTTAGCATTAAAAGTAAATAGTAAAAACACAAAACCCATAGCTGAAACTGAATATTAAAAAAAGTAATATACCTGAAAATTTAACAGTTGTAATATCTTAATTGGTTCAAATTTGTTTTTCATATCGCATATGTTAAAACTTTAATTATTACTATTTGTGATGTAGGTCAAGGAGAAAGTGTTAAGAAAGTGTGAAATATTAATATGTTGTTATTTTGTTATATGTTATGAAGAATAATGTTGGGAATTTGAATTAATATCTGAATAAATCTTTATTGTAAAGAAACCTTAACCTGTACTTTATGAGAAGTATTTTAGAAAAATACACTGAATTAAAAGCCTTTAAAGATCAATGTGATGTAGTAGACTTAACCTGTAAGTTTACAATTAAATGTATTTGAATAATAATAGGTAATTTGCTTAAGTGTGAAACTCCAGGGCTGCAAATTAGCCATGCATAAATATAAATGTTTTCAAAAAAACTCATTTAATGTAATTGCAATGTTGTTTAGTGCAACAGTTGCTCTTAACTGATGCACTTTGATGACAAATTTTGTCAAATTAAGGTTTAGTTTTTAATGTAATCTTTGTGTTTGTGGAGTTGTAACAATCTAAAACTTCTAAAATTATTCTTGGATTAGTTTTTTTTTAAATGTACGAGTCATCATTGCTATGATACCTGAAAATATTTTTACCACATGGCCACTTCTTGTTGACAGTAACTAAAACCGCAGTTGAGAAGTGGAATGCAGACATGTTAAATCTGAACTTTTTTTTTTCCAGCTAAAAAAATGAAATACACATCAGTGAACTCTTTCATATAAAGGGAAACACCCTGTACTAGACTTTTGTTCAAGTGTCGATAATCAGAATGACAATGTGACGGGGCAGCGCGGTCCCTCCCGCTGATACGCATGCACGCACACATACATACACAGAGAAATGCACGTGCGCACACACCCATTCAACTGCGAGTCCCTTCCCGTGTATGATAGTTACAGATCAATCGCTTTACTCACTTACATTTGCCTCTTGTGTGATGTGGCACGACCAAGGGTGCACACTTGGTGATGCTCATTAATCGGAACTCATACATTTACACTTAAACACATACACACGTTTGCACTTACCCATGGAGCGTTGTTTGAGAGAAAGTGGGCGGGGCATTTTCAGGGTTTTTCTTTCCTGTTTGTTTTTCCTCATAAAGGAAGTCAGTGATTTCCGCTGGCAAATTTAATTGTATTTTTTTTTAAGATAGTAACTTCAGAATGGAAACAGAAAATTATTATTTTTTTTTTCCCTAGGAATAAATGTTTTTTTATTTTTATTTTTTATTTTTTTCCCTTATTATTAAAACCAATACTCAATTGTTTGCTGATCTAATTGTAGGGCGGGGCTTAGGATTTATAAGGAGAGCTGCTGACCTTACTGAGTCAGTCTGGCCTGGTTACAGAGAAGGTAACATTGCTGTGCAGCACAAAAGGTATTTTTGTCTCAAATGATGTAAATACTACATTTGTTTCCATTTAATTTTTTTTGCATTTTCCCCTGCTACTCTGCTCATATTTTTGGGAGGTGTGAAATAAATATGATAAACTGAAGACGTCGACATGCCCTCCATGATTTTTTTTCTCATGATTTTGGAGTCAAGTTGACCGTATCGAGGTCTAACACAGAGGCTGTTAGGAAGAACCCACGACAGATGGTGTCAGGAGTGGGATGGCATGTCGAAGGAAAACCATCCGCCTCCCAAAGCAGAGGACTGGACTGCGCTCTCAGCAGCAAGAGGAAGCTTCCACAGAAACAGCATGGGAAACTCAACAGTCTACATCTGCAGATGAGAAGATGGAGCAGCCACAGACTCAATTTGGTGAGTCAGGGAAGGAAATCGTGTCTCTGCTGCAAAACTTCATGGAAGCACAGCAGAAAAAGGAGGACTCATTGATAAACATTCTTCAAGACCTGAAAAGATCTATTCAGCCAGCAGTACAGAAACCTCCATCGAGTACTGGCTCAGTAAGTAGTCCAAGATATCATCTGCCAACTCCAGCCTCACGTCGACCGCTTGATTCAAGCTCATCATCATCATCCTCCTCCTCCTCTTCTTCAACCCCAATTGAGTCCAGAAATAGTCGGTCAAGACAAAGGTTTCTTTGGGAGGGTCATTCGGATCCAAAGATGCTCCCATACGCAGCTGGTGAGGATATAGAGGACTATTTAATGCGGTTTGAACGTATTGCCAAAACCTGGAAATGGCCAGAGACAGAATGGGCATGCCGACTTGTTCCATTGCTTTCTGGTAAGGCGTTAGCAGCCTACACAGCAATGGATGAAGACAGGGCCCACTGCTATAATGAACTGAAAGCAGCATTATTGGCAAAATTTGACATATCTCCAGAGACCTACAGGCAGCGGTTCCGGTCAACTGTGGTTCCACCTGATGAAAGCCCGGCAGAAACCTACTCCCGACTGAAGGGGCTTTTCCGACGCTGGATTCGACCTACACAGCACACTAAGGAGCAGATTGGAGAGGCCATCATTCTGGAGCAGTTCCTGCGAGTTCTACCGCCTGAGATGAGGACATGGGTGAAGGAACACGAGCCGAAAGATGGACAGCATGCAGCAAAACTGGCGACACAGTTCCTGAATGCCCGCAAGGGAGGCGGCGGTTCAAACTTCATCAACAGGAACCGCAGGGTTACAGCGCAGCCGGTCCAACTGAAAGCTACAATAGAACGAAGCAACCGGGACTTTCCAGGTAACTTCTCCAGGGAACCAGACCACCACCAGCTGGGTAAGAACCTTGTTTGTTATTATTGCCAACAACCGGGCCACAAAGCTTCTGTGTGTCCAGTGCGCAAAGCTAAGGTCAGCGGGGCCTGTTATCCACCCCGGCTTGAAGAGGGGATTGTTGGGACTGAAAATATTGGCAGACACTATCAACAAATAACTGTTAATGGACAAAATGTGACTGCTCTTTTGGACACTGGAAGTTTCATCTCGCTCATAAAGCAGAGTCTGGTACCAGTGGGCCAGACAGATTATGGAAGAAAAGGGGACATTTTGTGTGTCCATGGTGACAAACATACATACCCAAAAGCAGACTTAACAGTTGTTATTGATGAACAACCATATCTGTTGACATTTGGTGTTACTGAAAACTTGCCAGTAGATGTAATTTTCGGTCGGGATTTACCAGTGCTTTTTGACTTGTTGAAGGAAAAGCAGTCCAATCAGATGGATTTTGATAAGGAGGGCAATACCCAAGTAAATGTTAAAATCTCTTGTCCGGTGGTCACCAGAGCCCAAGTAAAGGCCGGTGTCCAACCATTACCAGACCTAGACAGTAGTTTATGTGAGGGTGGCACAAAAGGGCCAAGAAAAACTCGAAGCCAACGGCGTTTTGAAAAAAAGCTAAGGTTAAAAGAACCTGATCAGATAGATGCATTGTGGGACATACCAGAAAACATTTCTCTGTTACAACAAGAGGATGAGAGTTTGAAACCACTATTCCTTAAGGCTCAAAAAGAAAAAACTGGAAATTGTGTGGTTGAACCAAGGTATGTTGTTGAACGTGATGTGTTGCATAACATTGAAAATAAGCACAAACGTTTGGTAATCCCCGCTAGATGTAGACCTCTCATTATGTATTTGGCACACACATTGCCATGGGCGGGACATCTGGGTCGCCATAAAACATATCTACGTGCAGGTGCGCGCTTTTACTGGCCAACAATGTACACCGATATTCAGACTTATTGCGCCACCTGCCCGGTATGTCAAAAAACATGTGCCACCCACAAAGCTGATAGGGCATTTCTTCAACCCCTGCCTGTCATTTCTACACCATTTCGCAGGATTGCCATGGACATTGTGGGCCCACTAATAAAAAGCAGCAGCGGCCATCAGTACATCTTGGTTGTGTTGGATTATGCTACGCGGTTTCCTGAGGCTTTTCCACTTCGTACCATCTCTGCTCCCATGGTTCTGCGGGCTTTAATGCAGCTGTTTTCTAGGGTTGGGATCCCAGATGAAATCATAACCGACCAAGGTACAAACTTTACCTCCAAGCTTATGCAACTGTTTTACAAACAGCTTGGTATTTCTCCAATAAAAACCACACCATATCACCCACAAACTGATGGTCTTGTTGAAAGATTTAATCAAACATTAAAAAGGATGCTCCAGAAGTTTGTGGATGACACTGGTAAGGACTGGGACCGGTGGCTGCCTTACCTTCTGTTTGCTTACAGAGAGGTTCCCCAGGCATCAACTGGCTTCTCACCCTTCGAATTGCTGTATGGCTGGGATGTCCAGGGGCCTTTGGATTTGCTCCGAAAAGGCTGGGAGTCACCATCTGCAGGTGAAGACAATAAAGGGATTGTCCAGTTTGTGCTGGAGATGCGGGAACGACTTTCCAGGTACCAGGAAGAAGCAGGACTCAACTTACGGGAGGCACAGAAGAACCAAAAGGCTTGGTATGACAAGTATGCCCGTCATCGTGAGTTCCAACCTGGGCAGAAGGTTTTGTTGCTTCTTCCTACCTCCAGCAATAAACTTCTAGCAAGGTGGCAGGGACCATACACAATCAGCCGGAAGATGGGTCCTGTTACCTATGAGGTACACCATCCAGACAAGAAAAAGAATCACCAGACTTACCATGTCAACTTATTGAAAGAATGGAAGGAGTCCCCATTTCACCACAGTACCAAAGTTCTGATGGTCCATAAAGTTGACCTAGAGGACGATGAGGACACCGATCCAGAAGGTCTGATGACAACTGCTCCTCCTAAACTGGCACATCTGCAAGCAGAACAAGTCATACAGCTCCAAGGTGTGTTTAAAGAAGTTTCCTCTCTTTTTTCACCCATTCCAGGCAAAACCACCCTGGCTCAACATGACATCAGGCTGAAGGATAAAACACCGGTTCGCCAGTGCCCTTACAGGGTTCCCCAGCAACTGGTGGGAAAATTGCAACTTGAAATAAAAGAAATGTTAAAACTTGGAGTGATTGAGCCTTCTAATTCAGAATGGTGCAGCCCAGTTGTCATTACCTTTAAGAAGGATGGGTCACTGCGTATATGTATCGACTTCAGAAAAATCAACGCAATTTCCGAGTTTGATGCTTATCCAATGCCTCGAGTGGATGAATTGCTGGAGAAGATTGGTACTGCCAAATATATCACCACGCTTGACCTATGTAAAGGCTACTGGCAGATTCCTCTTGAGAAGAGTTCCAGGCCTTATACAGCTTTCAGAGTGCCAGCTGGGTTGTTCCAGTTTACTGTGATGCCATTTGGGCTACATGGGGCACCAGCCACCTTTCAGAGGCTGATGGACAAAGTTCTTCAGGGCTGTGATCATTGCAGTGCTGCCTACCTTGACGATGTGGTGGTCTTTAGCAATTCGTGGGAAGACCATGTCCAACATTTGTCCCTGATCTTAGGAAAGATCCAGGAAGCGGGATTAACCCTCAACCCTTCAAAGTGCGAGTGGGCACAAAAAGAGGCCCGATACTTGGGCTATTGTCTGGGAGGAGGAGAGATTCGACCACAAGTGGATAAAGTGGAAGCCATCAAGAACTGTCCTAGACCTCGAACCAAAAAAGAAGTCCGGTCCTTTCTGGGGCTGGCTGGTTGGTACAGACGTTTTGTACCTCACTTTGCAACTATTGCAGCTCCACTAACATCACTGACAGGAAAGGACAAAAGGAACCCTGTAACTTGGTCAGATGAATGTGAAAAGGCATTCAGCATCCTGAAGACACTGCTTTGTTCTTTTCCTGTGTTAAAGAGCCCAGACTTTGATAAAAGGTTCCTAGTACGGGTTGATGCCTCTGCAGTTGGCTTGGGAGCAGTTCTGGTCCAAGGAAACCCAGGAGATGAACATCCACTGCTGTATCTTAGCCGCAAGTTACACCCACGGGAGACCAGGTATTCTACTGTAGAAAAAGAGGGCCTGGCCATCAAGTGGGCACTAGAAAGCTTGAGATACTATTTGCTGGGACGTGAATTTGACTTGGAAACTGACCACAGAGCCCTAACCTGGATAAACTCCATGAAGGACCATAATAGTAGGCTCACCCGATGGTACCTTTCACTACAACCATTTAGATTTAATGTTCAGCATCGATCTGGCAAAACCAATGTAGTGGCTGATTACCTGTCCAGGTTGCCGCACATCGTCAACCTTGGGGAGGAGGAAGATAATGTGACGGGGCAGCGCGGTCCCTCCCGCTGATACGCATGCACGCACACATACATACACAGAGAAATGCACGTGCGCACACACCCATTCAACTGCGAGTCCCTTCCCGTGTATGATAGTTACAGATCAATCGCTTTACTCACTTACATTTGCCTCTTGTGTGATGTGGCACGACCAAGGGTGCACACTTGGTGATGCTCATTAATCGGAACTCATACATTTACACTTAAACACATACACACGTTTGCACTTACCCATGGAGCGTTGTTTGAGAGAAAGTGGGCGGGGCATTTTCAGGGTTTTTCTTTCCTGTTTGTTTTTCCTCATAAAGGAAGTCAGTGATTTCCGCTGGCAAATTTAATTGTATTTTTTTTTAAGATAGTAACTTCAGAATGGAAACAGAAAATTATTATTTTTTTTCCCCTAGGAATAAATGTTTTTTTATTTTTATTTTTTATTTTTTTCCCTTATTATTAAAACCAATACTCAATTGTTTGCTGATCTAATTGTAGGGCGGGGCTTAGGATTTATAAGGAGAGCTGCTGACCTTACTGAGTCAGTCTGGCCTGGTTACAGAGAAGGTAACATTGCTGTGCAGCACAAAAGGTATTTTTGTCTCAAATGATGTAAATACTACATTTGTTTCCATTTAATTTTTTTTGCATTTTCCCCTGCTACTCTGCTCATATTTTTGGGAGGTGTGAAATAAATATGATAAACTGAAGATGTCGACATGCCCTCCATGATTTTTTTTCTCATGATTTTGGAGTCAAGTTGACCGTATCGAGGTCTAACACAGAGGCTGTTAGGAAGAACCCACGACAGACATACTTTCTAAAAAGGTATGGACTTCAACTGACATCCAGTGGAAAAATGCCCTGGAGGAAGTCTTTTAGTTGTAAATAAATAGAAATATGTCAAAACAAGCCAGTCAAGGCATCAAGTCAACCTTAATGCTTTGATTCTCATCACTGCATGACACGGCATGTTATGATTGCAATTTAGTCACTCTTTACATGGCTGACTGGCTGGCACAACTAAAATGAACTACTCCTACAACTATACAAACCTTTTTGCAAAGCAAGCCATGTATTGCATTATATAACACGGGCAACCTTTGAACTAATACTAATTATGGTAAAATTTCATCTCAGTCACATATTTAACAATTAAATACATTTATTTAAGTTGTTGAATTTGTAATTTTCAACAAATTAGAATATTTGTTCTTCTAAGCCTTGTTTTGTTTAGATCTGTAACAACCTTTTGTAAAAAAAAAAAACACTTACTTCAATAAGCTTCAATAAGCTCTTGTTTCTATATTAATTATTTTTAATTAGTCTATATGTTAACCAAAAGTCTAAAGCAAGAGGGAAATTACAACAATTAACAGACTTATACACAGACAGACAACATCAGTCAGTGTACTGTATAAGTAATCTATATAATGTTTCTCACTCAGAGGGTTTCGTGAGGGTGCTGGTGCCTGTCTGCAGCTGTCAACGGGCTGGGGGGGGGGGACACCCTTCACAGGTTACCTATTGCAGGGCAACAAATTTACTTTTCAGTGATATTTACTTTTTTGTAATATGTCATCAGCTCCTCTTTCTGGGCCAGATTTTCTCTCGCCTTGAGTCAGAGTTCCAGAAATTAAATGTCCATGAGCAGATGTTTGACTTAGTTTCTGCTTAACCCATACCAGATTAAACTTTCTTATTGTTTTAAATCTGATCCTTCCCCTTCATTCTCACCATCTTTTCAATTATATATTCACTGTTCTTCTATGTGCATGGCCATAGCCTGGCTAACCATGGAGTGAAGGAATCCACACTTTGTTATTGGCCTCAGCTTCCGTTTACAGACCCCGGACTTATCAATTTTCTTTGGTTGATACGACTCTCTGAGACAAGACCAAATGCTTGTCCATTAATGTGGCATTTGCAATTTTAAGAAAACATTACTCAATTCCAGACCTAGTCCTGTAAAATCTCCTTCACATGGGCTCAACTTTCTACTTTCAAGAGTTGTAATGGTGCTTACCCCCTCCCCCTCAGTTTAATTCCTCCTTTACCAACAACAAGTCTCCTGTATTAGGAGAAGAAACTTCAATGGGTCTTAGAAAATGACTTGATAATTGTCAGCCCCAGAAGCGTTTGTACGAGCAATTTCATTCTGAACTGTTTCGTCCTAGCGATTTAGGAGAAAATACTGCATTCACTATTTTCTTCTATTTCTAATCTTCTCTCAAGACGCAAATAGATTACATGAGTACTCCAGGCTAAATGCCTGTTTAAAACTGTCAGGCATGCGGGTCATGGCAACCACAAACTAATATGAGAAAAACACAGGCTAATATTGGTAAGCAACCGGACAACAGAATTGACAAAGCCTCCTGAAGTCTTTGTCAATTCTTTTGTCCCACACCAGAGCAAAAAATTTTATTGACAAAGACTACTGTGTTGATGTTACGTCTTCCAAAAACTGAGCGAAAGACCTGTTGCCTTCCAATTCAATTGTGGTTACTCCAGACACTCACATTCACTTGAATAAAATCTAATTTAAATTTAAAAATACTTTATTAATCACAAAGGGAAATGAAATGTTGCAGTAACACATGAGCAGTTATTAATTGATAAGTTATATGTGTTGATAGCTGTAGGCAGGAAGGACCTTTGCCAG